GGAACGGCTCTCGCCTCATTGTCTAGCTGACACTCGAGTCCTCTCAACACGTCTGCCACCATCGACAGAACCAACAGAGTTTTGGGGTGCTGGTGGTTGGCTGAGATGCAGCTTTGAACGTGTAAAGTCTTAGCACTGGCACAGTATGAGTACGGTACACAGGCTAAAAAGAGGGATAAGAAGGTGCTTCTTCACAATGGGATTGAACAGAGCAGCTTTAAGCTCTTGCTAACCAGTAACACAGGCCTTCCACAGCACCAAAAGCACAGAAAGAACAGAGATAAGACAGCCCACCTTCAGATCCTGGGAGGAACTAGCAAAAAAAAAATTGGAGGACCAGGATGGAAAGGACAGACAGGAAGAGCTCACTGCAGAAAGACTTCTGCAGAGCACAGGATTGATCTCAACTGGCTTAAGCTGTCATGCCTAAGATGTTCAACTTGCTTCCTCTAACCAAAGAGACCGGGTGTCTCAAGGGGATGTTTTATCTTGTCTCTGGAAACTTCTGCAGCACCCTGTTGATCCCAGGGCCACCAGTCAACATGTTCACCTGGTTACCTTCCAGAGCTATTTCAGCAGGTCAAGTTCCAGAGCAAGTAGGTTCTGAAACTTTCCATCCCGGTTACTTTACAGCTGTCTTGCTAAAGTGTCCCCTCAACAGCAGGTTTCCAGATAATTACACCCAATTCCTGTGCTGTCGGCTCACACCTCAGCCCTAAAACATGGAGGCTGCGGACACTCCACCGACAGAGCAAACACAGGCACACACATTTCTTCCTTACTTGGCTTCCTGCTCAAGCTGTTCTTCTAGCTGTGCAATCTTGGCTTCTAGAGTAGAAATTGTTGCCTTGAACTTGGACTTCACAGATCCCTCCAGTTCCTGCAGCTTGGCTTTCAGCTCTTTGTTCTGCCTTTCCAGCTGCTGCCGTGCATTTTCACTCTTCTGGGCAGCACTCCGCTCCCCGGCTAGCTCGGAATTCAGCGTGTCCACCTTGCGGAGGAGAAGAACACAAGACCATTTGGTGCCTCCTCTTAACTGCACACTGAAACACAAACTGCTCAACAGCATTGCCAACAACAGGTTCACCTGCAGCGTGGTCTTTCGGAACCGCTCGTTGAGAAGCTCCATGTTGCTCTGCTCTTCCTCCAGCTCTTCCTCCAGCTGTGCAATACGAGCTTCCAGCCGGCGCTTCTCGTCCAGCAGCGCTGACCTACACAGGAAGCATTTGGGTCAGGACATGTCCAGGTCTGACACAAAGCAACAGGTTAGTTTGCTTCTGATACTTCAGGCACTGCAAACTGTCACGAGAAGCTACTGTGTAAGCACTTCTCCTCGTAACGACAACGAATTTTTCATCAGGAAGACAGGTCAATTCAGAGTCTGCACGCAGACTGCCGAGAACCACAGCTGCTGGTGCCTGAAGTTCTTCAGATGCACAATTAACACATTTGGTGACTCACTTTCCTGAAGCACTGTTTGCAATCTCATCAGCCAGCTCATCCCTTTCTTGCTCGGCATGACGACGGGCTCTTTCAGACGCAGCAAACTCCTGTAAAGATTTAGGAAGAGATTCATTACAGCATTAGGAATCTCGAGACTCCTGCAAACAGTTTAGCCTTCTAATAACTTCTGGGAGATGCTGTGAAGTGTGATATCCCTGAGGTCTTTTAACAGATAAGCAGAAGCAACAGCTGTAGAAGCTAGCAGGACACATCATCTTGATATTTCCCCTCCTTAACTGCCATATGACTACAACAGATTTACTTCTTGTCCCTCAAGTGTTCCTTGCACAAAGTTAAGGAAAAAAAACCAAACAACTGTGAATATCAGTAACATTCAAGCCCTAAACAGCAGGAGAAAACCGTTCTGTCACATGCTCTAACACACACGCCGTGTAAAGTGGGCATCAAATGAAGCAATTTTTTTAGGTTCTTACAGAGTACATAGCACGGATGCAAAGTAGAGAAAACAAAATCTTTACACAATCCTACAAACAGCACTGAGTCTCACAAAACTGTATTAAGCGATAGAAACACCCAGGCGCTTGCTAAGGAGGACAGTTAAATGCACTGCAAGTGCAAGACTGACAAGTCTGAAGTTCTCAAAAGAACGACATGGAGAAGCTCTAGTGAGTCGCAGGTTATCTGTAAAGGCTCAGACAGTAAGTGTAGG